GGATCGGCAAAAGGCATAGACATCAGTGAGGACACAGCCTTACTTTCCGAAATTCGATTCACAATGTCCGGAGAGTGCTTGCAGATTGTGCAAAACCGTGTAGTGTAGAGTGGCCCGCTCGCAAGCTTGTGTTGAATCGTCAAGGTCCACCCACGCCGCCAGGACACACTCCTGCATCTATGTGCGGGCCTACAGCATTAGCACAGATCGCAGCTGCTACAATCAGTGACGTCCATGTTCTGTCAAATGGCTGAAAGGCCTTTACATTCGCGATTTTTCCGTGCTGCCGGCCAAGTTTTCCGTCCAGATTGCACAGCGGACTTCGTCGCTGCCAGGCTGCTGCAGCTGAGCTCTTCCAGCAGCTCTACCTCGGCCGGGTCCTTTGCACCCGTTCACACGAGTCTTCGTTGATTCGGATTCGCCGGCTGATCCTTGGAGCTTGAGCTTTCAGCCTCCGCCTGGTTCTGCGTCTTTGTCGTTCATTTCGCTTTGGAGGATTGCTATAAGTGGAACAGAGCACAGATCAAGCTGCCGGCGCTCGGGAGGATGGGGCGGAACTGTGGTGATGACTGGAGTTCGGGCGTCCCTGCACATCAGCTGTTGTCCTGGTATCCAAGGTATCGGACATGTGTGGAACAAGGCAGCGCTGCAGGCGGGCTCCTTCGCGTCCACATGACGACTGGTGGTGGCATTCGTGAAGATGCTGAGGCATATCGAAGCAGGCCTACAGCTACCCAGGACACCTTCCTTCATTGTGCAGCGGCCCACTCCTCGACCGATTCGAAGTTGTACGGTGTCCAGGGGCAAGTCGCATGCGTCGCTCCAAGGCAAGGTTGAATTTCTGGGTCTTGCGATATGCTTTGTCGCCTCCGCCTGAGTGATGTCACTCTTTTTGAGAAGCTGGATGTGCGGATGAGCAGTATGACGAAGAAGTATTGGCTCTGAAGTTGCAGGGCACGTCGCCATGAGGTCAGCTGATGCTGTGTACATGCTGCAGCACAGGAACTGCAGCAATCAGAGTGCATTGGAGGCTCTTTGATCAGAGCTGAAGCAGGAAGCCCTGGCATGTGCCGAATGCTGCCCAGGTGTTAATGCTCAAGCTCTCGGAGGCGCTGAGATGGGCCGACTGGCTGGAAGCATGCGCACCAACGTAGTGCCGGGGGCAGGTACATCGGTCCCCTTCTCCATCACTGGTGCAAGCACCACAGGTGCTGTTTAGTGCTTTGTCAGAGTTTTCAACCGTACGTGGTGGCGTCGAGTACGATGTTGTTGGTAGGATACCGTGCTCGTGCACCGTCGGCTGTTAAGCAAGCGATCAACAGCGAAAGGGAAGCCAGTCCAGAAGGAAACTGTCCGCGGGAGCAGGCGCTGATCAAAGACCTTCCAAGAAGCTCAAGAAGCCAAACCAGGAAAGCACAAGCTTTTGGCAACCGAACCTGATTTTCGGCACAAAGCTATCTGCGACCAGGCAGGAATCAGCACAAAATGAGGATGGGGACTGATCAGAGCATGTCTGTTTTTGGGAACAGAAAGTCGAAGAGCTTCTGTACTGTGTTTCCGATCTGATATGGCAGAGAGAATTGCACCGACACGGATTGCACGGGTCCAATTTCCTCGCGGTCAAAGACATCCGAATCGGTGTTCATGCGCTGCGGCGGCATAAGAACATGGAAAAACCGACTCTACTATAGCCAACCGACCGCAAGGAAGAACCGGACCTCCCGACGAAGCTTTACACTTTACACGAGCGGCGGGGCACAGCATCGATAGTCCCCCGGAGTACGTGACGCTGACTGTTTGCGAATGTGTCTGCGTGTGTGCGCATTGCTCGCGCGTGCGTCTGCGTGTGTCCATCCAGCCGTTTGGGAAGTTAGAGTTGAGCACACTGGTGTACCTGGAAAGCTGATCACGCAGTGCAGTTTCTTCGCTGTGTAAGTGTTTTTCATCTTCGCGTTTCGGCGAAGTTTGATTGCACGAAAGCTGCTCGAGGCTACGGCTAAGCCAAGATACCAAAACTAGCAGAACAACGCAAGAGTACAGCAGAAGCAACACCACAACCCACGGATATTTCCGATCCTAAGTCACCGGAAATATCTCTGCCTGTTTATCTCTGTGTCCGCTGTGGGTGTTTTCCATGCGTGTCAGCTTCAGTGTCTCTCCCACAAGCAGGATCAGGAGGTAGCAGTGTTTGAAGAGATGGCTGCGACCAGTCCAGCATGCAGTCAGTCCCACCATAGGGGATCCGTCAGCACTAAAGCAACACGCTGCAAGTGCTTATAAGTGCTTTCCTTTCGGTCCGAGCTCTGGCAGCATGAGAGCAGACTGCCAGGCGGATCTTTGTCTCAAGTCTTGCTAGGACGCTGAACGGCCACTCGTCGATTTTGGCAAGCCTCGCCCTCAGCAGGGCAGACGTTTGCAAGCTGCCTGCGAAGGGACAGTCGACGCGCAAGGTACCTGCCGACGACAGACAGTTTGGATGCCATGAAGCCTGCTTTTGCAGACGTGGAGCTGGAGGTGCCATGCAGAGAGTGCATGGGGTGCGGGCCACAAAGACTCGGTCTCTGCAAGGTGGAAGACAGTGGTGAAGTTTGCAGAGTCCCAGCGCATCGAGCCATCCTTGGAGCTGCCTCGAGCACGGGGACTCAGCGGTGACCATGTTGGGCGCATCGCTAAAGCTGCCTCAACACGTCTGTACCTGGGTATCGCAAAATAGTGTCGGCGACGTGTCTGCCTTGAAACACTGCAGATGCTCGCAGCGAAAACCATGACAGAGCGCCGAGCGACAGAGCCTGTTGCATCATCTGTGTCAGTTCGTAGGAAGCCTCTTGCAGATACGGGTGCTGCACTTTGCAAGCATCTAGGAGTCTCCAGAACAAACACCGAAGCAAACTCTGAAACGTCTGTGCGCAAGCAGCATGGCCCCGGTTGGGTGAGGCAATGTTTCGTGTCCCTCGGTTTCGTGCAGCCGTCTGGTCACACTTAGCCGCCATAGCCGTCCTTGCACGCAGGCCATGGGCATTGCGCCCTGTGCAGGGGAGCAGCCCGGAACTCGGATGAACACGACTACGATACAGATTTTTGCGAAGCGATTGGATTGGATGAAGTTTGCAAGTTGCAGTCCCAACTGAGGTGTTGTGCGTCGGAGTTCGGTGCCTTTTCAGAGGCGATCGGACCTTGCTGGGATTCGCTGTCAGCGATTGGACCAGACAGAAGCCGACGAAATGTTGGGTGACTTGTCAGGACGCCGCATCGCTAAACCGCTAAAAATAATCGGTTTCTGCAAACAGCCTTCTTGGCCAGGTCAGACAAGAGTGCGGCTTCAGGGAGGAGATCGTTCCTCAAATAGTGAGGCATTCCGCTTTGCGATGGCCTTGGAAGTGTGTCCGAGCGAAGAGCCAGATCTGTCACGAAAACGAAGCCGTGCATGTGATTGATCATTGTACTGGCAATGGCAATAGGAGTCAGTAGCAGCAGGAGTTGGAAGATTAGACGCCGCAGTGGTAGCAGCAGCACTGACATCAACAGTGTTGCTTCGAACAGTGTTTCTCAGGGAGCCGAAGCATGAGAAGACACTGGCGCAGTGCCTGGTGGAGATCCAAGCTGCTTCGAGCTGTATGGACTTACATCGGCTCTGTTCCAGCTGCCATGGTTCGGAAGCCTTACATGCACGAATAGAATAGTGTAGTGCACGTGTTAGATTGCCTGCAATATGTCCGCTTGTCCGGCACAAGCTGTCTCCACCTGCTATAGCAGAGAAGTGGTTTGAGGCAACGTCGCCAGCAAGACATACCGATGCCGGAGCCCTACCCTACCAGTAGCGATTTAATTCAGGCCGACCTCTGTCCACAAGAGCAGGCACGCACACTTGTTCGACTCTTCTAAATATGGGCCGGAAGCAAACGGCTCCGGGTGCTGAGGTTTTCTTCAACGGCTCTGGCGTCCTGGAGCCCAAAGGCTCACCGTCCATATCCTCTCGGCGGAAGGATCGGGAGGTGCCGAGGGCTGCGCGCATGATCTCGAATCTTAGAAGGGCTGACTCAGGTTCCTATCCGGGCGTAAAGGGAAGTTCGGAAGCCAGGGTTCAAGCGGCGAGTGAACATTCGGGAATACCAGGATGAGTGAGGCAGTGGTGCTCGCAGCGGTGTGGCCGCTGTAGCTTCGGATCCCCGTACGGCAAAAACGTGATAAAACTGGTGCAAGACAGACTTGCTTCCATCGCTGATGCGCATTGATCCGGGGAGCTCAAGCTCGGAGTTTCGAGGTCGTCACGTCAGACGACAATCGATCGAAGGCGAGAATCGCTCCCACACAGCACTCAAGACGAAACCACGCTCCGAAGACGAAGCTCGCACCGAAACATAATTCGTCAGCAGCTCGCGGGACGGGTTCAAACTCCTGTCATAGTCCCGCACGTGGCCAGAATCGTGGTCCCAGTGTCGTGCGAATTTCAGCCTGAAGGGGTGGTCTATGTGGCTTTTGGGGCGGCCCGAGACTGCTTCTTGTTTCTGCGCGGTGTGCTGTTTCATTGTGACGGATGGGGGCACGCATAACTGCATATCTCTGATTTGCCCATCTGCCTTATTACAACTACAAGCCCCACACACTCAAAGAAGACTCAACGCCGAAGGCCATATAACCCTGAAAACAAAAAAGTGCATTAGACCAACACAAGAGTCCTAAACTGCTGAACCCCAAAGCCGCAAGCCAAAGCCTTAAACCCTAAAACTCTGAAGCAGCCGAAACCCCCCGTCCTCAGCCCTATAGACCTTAAACGTAAATCCAGCACTTAGTTCAGTTGCCAACCCGCACACATGGACCTCGTCTGCTTGTCCGAATTGCGAGAGTTTAAACGTAAACACAAGAAACCGTACGTAAGCCTTACACCCTTAAGCCGAGCCCTGAAGACCTTGAAGCTTAAAAACCATTAAGCCAACGCAAACCCTCAACCGTCGAAGCCTGAAAGCCGAAAACTACAAATCCCTAAAGCCTGAAACCAAGGGACCCTGAAATTTCCAATCCTTGGAAAGCCTAAAACCCTAAGCCCAAACCGTGACTCTCCGGTCGGCTTTCGGATGAACGTTTCTGCGAAAAAGTGACTCCCCGGTTTCTAGCAGGGAAGGCGGAGGAACCCGGACAAGGGTAGCCACCTTGATGACGGCGGGGATCATGGCAAGACTACCACAGGACCACAGGATGCCGATGTTTGGGAGCATTAAAGATGGCAGACGAGAGGCTCATATAGTCACAGATGACGGGTGAGCGGTCCCAAAAAGACGGAGTCACCGATGACAGGGCGCAGGAGGTCAGAAAGTGCCTTCTCACCTCGGAGTTTGCTGACTTGCATACCTGAGAGTTGATGGATTCAGCTCCACCTTGGCAGATCAGAAGAAGGATTGCGCTTTTTTGCGATTTGGTCCTGTTGAAGTCTCCCTTGCAAGACGGCCAGTTTTTTTCCAAGCGGGTGACCGCGGAGGCCCTCGCTGGTGTAAAGCAGCTTGTTGTCAAATTCAACATGTCCCCTAATCTATGTGTCTGCATCCTCCTCTTAGTTGTTTTGCTGACCTGAGAGAGGTGTTAATGCCGTATAGCAGACTACTGAACTACTGTTTATGGTCACATGATTGGCTCAACTTACGTAACTTACAGGTGTTTGCAGCGTCTTTGCTTTTTTGCTATAGTTTACTTCCGCGGAGGATCTTCAATTTGCTTCTCATGCAAAAGTGCAAAAAAGCCAGGCCGCATGCCCTATGCCTCAATTCCTGAAGCAGCAGGGTCAACCCATGTCAACCCTAAAGTCAGCAAAACTTCGACCTCTCAACCGGCCAGGCAAATCCAGAGTTGGAGGCAAGTGTGTCGCCGGGCAGACAGTTCGAATTAGTGAACCAGTGAAGTGAGTGCCATTGCTACTGCTACTAGGTCTGCTGCTCTGTCGTGCTGATATTGATACTCTTGCGGTTTCTGTTGCCCTGCTATGCCGTGGTCGTCATTCTTAGTTTGCCATGGCTGTGATGCCCGTCGCACGTCGGTTTGTGACGCAATTCCCTCATCTGTTTGGTGGGAGGACGGTTCCCCGAGAGAAGAGGAACGCGAGGCGCGTCATTTTGCCTCGCTTGCCAGATTCTGATATTCACTGTAGTTTCGATGTGCTGGCCAGGTCACCACACTGCGCAAGGCACTTAAAGACTTAGATGATCTCCATTACTGGTAGCGGCGTTGCGGTGACTCCAGCCCGCAGCAGGCATGTCTTCATACTTGTCGACATGGGAGCTTGAGGTATGCTGCTGAAGCGTTTCGTGCAGGAGACGGTGAGGCTGTCGATTGCAGTCTTTCGATCGCCTGGAGTTGCACCTTGTACTCGATTTGAATCACGCTAGGAAGTGGAGCAGGCAGAAAGCAACGATGAAGTTAGAGACACTTAACTTAAGGAGACTAAAGACAAAGAGCCTGCAAGCACAGGGAGCTTCAGGGTATCTGTACCAGCGCACCGGCATTGACAGGGGAAATGCGGAAAGAAGGCGCTTTTGTTGCGTTTGCAAGCCGACCAGGGGCCAATCGTACCAAGTCCTCGTGCAGCACTGAGTCTGCTGCTGTGTAGCATCATTGCATCATGTTGCCGATCTTGGCCTTATCAGCCTTATCCTTCCACTTCCTGCAGGTTGCAGATGGCAGCTCAGAGCCGTGCAAGCTTGTGCCCCATGAAGATGCAACTCAAGTTAGATGCTTCCAAAGTCAGCCAAGACGATAAGCACGTCGTTTGCTCGAGGCTGCTTCTGGCACCCAACCTCCAATACTTCCAACTCGTGCAGGATTCCAAGTAAAGCCCAGCAACGCAAGGCTTGCGAGTGCAGTCCTGCACAGTCATGGTCTGATCTTCTCATCTGAGGACCGATGGCCGTGATGACTTGTTTGAAAAGCAACGCATGTCTCTCCATCATCTCGCGTCCCTGACATCCCAGACAACCCTACAAATTCAGACAAGTAGATGTGCCAGGTGTAATCCACGATGTCCCGCTGAAGTCCGTCAAAGATATTTGCCTGGCACCAAGACATCAACGGCTCGTCGTGAAGTGCTGCCTGTCTTTACCAGTCATTCCTTGTTTCTTTCTCCTAGGTCCAGGAAGGACCATACAGACCAAGCACACGCCTGTCGATTTAGCCGCAACCCCACAAGTAGGCACCTGTGAAGTGTGCTGCTGAGCTACAAGCCCCAAGCCGACACTGAGGATGATCAGTGTGCCACCCTCGTCTTACGCAACAACGAGTGCCAGCATCTCGGATGGGCCGTGGGAGTGGCACGAAGCAGGAAGTCTCCTGGAATCTGGTCACTGGCCCCTGCGCGCAGGTGTCACTTTTCGCTTAAGCTGCATCCAAGAACGGGATGAGTTCATACGGTGTGCAGCAACCTCAGCCGGAAACTCCCAACTTCTTCTTCTGATGTGTCGTATGTGGTGTAATGGTAGAACCGCTAAGGTGAAAGTGCTGGCTCTTGCCATTGACTGAACACGAATTTGTGTGGCAATGTAGGTTTAGGCCGACAAGGCTGTGCCACAGGGCACGACATTCGCTAGCCAGCTCCGTGCGAAACTGCGCGGAAGACTGGATGTGTGCTGCCAAGCTCAGGGCAAGAGTCCCTCTGAAAGCTGACATCTGTCAGGGAATCTGAACATGCAGAGCTGAGCACACGTGATAGCGATGCAACGAAGTGTGGGGATGCTGGAGTAAGCGCCATGCTCCCAAGGCGTTCTCCACGAGCAGCTTGTCCGCTGTGCCCCAGGAAGGCCTCACTCCGATGCCCCAGGGTCATCCAAGGGTATAGCCATATCATACAATCATTGTTCCTCTTCCTTCTTTTCCAATGAGTATATATTGTGTTGCAAGACTCTAGGTTTCGTCTACTGCTAAAACTTGCTACTGCTACAGCCAGTGCTGCAATGTCCGCTTCTTGCACGGACAATATTGCTACTGCCTTTTCATCCGGTAAAATAGTAGTTTCTGAGGGTTTGTTTGCTCGACGGAGTCCAGGGGAAATCGCATCGGGGGTCCATGGTGGAGTACGCCGAAACACCTCGGAAAGGAAGAGAAACACTAAACAAACGAAGGAGGAAGCGACACACACGCAGGGCACGGCGCACGGAACGCAGAAGCCGAAGCAAAGCTGGTAAAGCTGCGCCAGTTCCGTTTGGGGCGTGGCACGTTTGAGGAGGCAAGCAAGGCCTGGATCAGACCCTCTGCATTCACGCCTTGGCGATGCTATTCTTGAAAGGCCGGGCACATGCATCAACGCGCAATGATGCGCAATGCTTTGTGTACTTCAGTGCTGTTGCAACTGAGTGGCGCCTTCGAGGCATCCAGCGGCCTAAACCTTAAGAGGACCTGTGGCAAACCACAAACCACCTTGGCAAACCGAAGGCTCGGGATCCGAAGAGGACGCATGGATACGAGTGCGAGGCTTCAGAAAGCGGCAACATGCGGCGACTTCCTGCTGACCTCCCACATCGCATTCCGAAGTCGTGCTGGGGCTGTGGACGGCACTACTTTGCTACAGCATTCCTGATGCAAGCGAGATTCCGTGAGTGGCCCCAAGAACGAAAAAAACTCAAGGTCCTCTGGTCGAGTTGCGATGCAGAGCGATGCTGACGTCGGCCTAACAGCAAGCCTTCTAGCAAAGGAAGTGTTGATGGAGAGGGAGGCTTCGCACACAGAGGTGGACGGTGGAAACAGGCATCAGGAACTCGGGCTGTCGAGACACCGAGGCTCCGTGAAGGTAGTGTGAAGGTGTCGTCGAGGCTGATGGCACGGCACCGGCAGAAAGTCGGACATTGCTTTGCCGGCTCGCCAAACATGTCCCGACGCGACCCGTTGCGAAAACGGAAATCGTTAGAAGACAGTGCGGGGAAGAGATTGCACTCGTGGCCTTTTCGGTAGCCGACTTCGTGAAGGTGGCAAGCCGTAAACGCCGTAAACTTTCAGCACCGCAGTGCCACAATATTGGCAGAGAAAGCCGAAAGGCTGTAACGAAATGTCGGGCGGGAAATCGTAGGCTTGGTTACTCTACTTGTAGAGAAGGTTTTGGCTGACACACGATAGTCGTTGGGCAGGAAACTCGACGGCTGATAGGAGAGATGGCATTGGTCGAGGTGGGGAATCTATAGCTGGAACCTCATGTCCCAGAACCAGCCGCTGGCGAAACGCCGACAAGGAAAGACTAGGACTTCAATGCCCCGCAAATTTGTACGCAGTAACGAAGCACACTGACATCCGTACTGCAGAATGTTTTTGAAACTTCTGGAACAACCCACCTTAGGCAAGTCCGAGGACATGCTATGGGATCCATGCTATTGACACACTGGCAAATCTGAAATCCAGGGTATCATTGCTTGAAATTCCCACCACCAGGAGATGCAGCAGGATTCCAAGCTAAACCCTGCACCTCCAAAAATGAATCTGCAAGAGACAGCGGTTGCCATCCGCATTGGCAGGCCTTTGCGAATCAACCCGCTGTGTTGCCACAGCAAGCAGGCAAGGCCCCCACACCACTCGCCCTGCGCTGCATCCGAATAATTGAGTCACAGGTGCTGCTGACAGCTCTTGAATTCCTCTACCGCTCTCGCTTGCACTGCAACTTCTCGGAGGATCGCCGCCTGGCTGCTTCAGAATGGCTCTAGCGCCCTGTCCCCGTTTGCAGGACGGCTTCTTGCTGTGGCAGTTGCTCTGCCTCTGCACGGAATACGATCTGCCAAAGCCGCTCTGGAGGTCGATTGCCCAAGTGGCAAAGCCCCTTTGAAGGTCCTGGAAGTTCTGCAAAGGTATGCCAAGGCCGCGCTGCTTGCAGCCGTCACCAAAACGAGGCAGCTGTGGCTGTGGCAGCGTTAAAGTGGGACGCAAGGGGGCGAGCGTTCAGGGAGCTGAAGCCAGGTACGCGCCGGTGCTTCCAGTCTTGCTCGAGGCCCGCCTGCACTGCCCACCTATGGACCTATGCCCATGCCTGTGTGCGCCATGCAGGCTCGAGCTCAGGTCTGTCTCGACCAGGAGGAGGTGCCAAGAATTTCTCTCGTCGAGCTCCGAGCCTTTCAGTTTCGTCTTCAGGCCGCAGCCATCAGCTATGCGCTGCTGTGCCATCACGAGGTACGGTATCCCGGGCAACTCAAAAGATGCTTTTATACTGGGATCCTCTGGGCTCCTCATGCTCCCGGTGACGTTTGCTTACAGTCTGATCATCCAGTAAGTGAGCTCCTCCCCGACAGCGCCCCTCACGGACAACGAACGTTCTCGGGATGAGGCTGAGCATGTGCGCGGATGGGCTAGGCGGCTAGACTAGTTTTTCCCATCACGATGCCTAGATCCTCCAAGGATCCGGTATCCAAGAGATAGCATGTTGGTCCGTACTTGTCCGAGACTAACGGCGTCCACGAATTTAATCATCGAATCCATTCTGTCAACATAGAAGCTCATCCAGTTCGCCGCGATTTCGGCTAAGTGAGGTATTTCTGTGTCAACTACACGCATGGGTGCGATGCTTGTCTTTCACGGCCAGGTGGCGCTGAAGGGCATGCCCATCGAAGAGCAATCGCAGGCTCTTCAGCGCTCGCACACATCACAGTCAATCGTAGCTGATGAGTACCAGGCAAATCTGTGAGCTTCATTGAACTCCTGGTCGGCCTCGGAATTTGTCTCAAGCCCCTGCCATGGAAAAGCGGGCCAAATGCATCCAGATGTGGGGTGAGGCTACGCAGGAGTTGCCCCAGCTAGGCACAAAACGTGCCTGTCGGCATGGAAGATGACGTTTCAGTGTCATCCCGATCTCCCGCAGGCTATGGGATGCAGAGTCACTAGCTATTCGCAGCCCAGACCTCCTGTCGTCCTAAATTGTCGTCGCTAGCTCATTCGCGTCATGAGCACCTCATACCCTCGTGCAAAGTTCCTCGACAGGCGTAGACGGCGACGCCGCCCGGTCTGACGATAGCTTCCTTTTTTTTGATGTTGCGAAGCATTCTCTTTACAAAGACGGTAATTGTAGAGCCCCGCGGGAAGGATCAGTGGGAGATCCACGTGGACACTTGCGAGGAGCTCAAACTTGCAGCGGATATAGTGCGTCTTGGGCAAACATGAGGCTAAGCTATTGCCAATTGCACTGGTTTCCCTGTTACAGCGAAAGCGACATTCAACACAATTGCAACTCAGGAAGGACGTCACAGAGACGTGGAGTGCTTTTGTGCAGACTTTCGACACTGAACAAGCGGCTGGCCCGGTGCTCAGCGAACTGCTTGGTCGCCCCGGCGATGATTCTGCACAACCCTTGTAACCCGAACACACGTGCAATTTGTCCAAAAGCACAAACACCTGAGTTTCGAAGTACTGTCCCCTGTTGCTTTAGACGTGAGGCGACACTACTCGTAGGTTTTCATGGCATTTCGCCAATCCTCAACAGCTAATGTAAAGCTGATTTCGCAGTCATTCGAAACCCCCATGCTAGCCCTGGGATGCGGGAAACATCCTGGCCATGCTGGAGGCGACAGGAATATGAGGATCTTGTAGGAGTCTTATTGCCAGTCTAAAGCGTAGAATCCTTGCCTGAATCATTCTAATGGCCGGATCCGTAAAACAGCCTAGACAGTAGGAGTTTTCTAAGGCTCTAAGACGCAAATCTTGCTCCACCAAAGGTGAAGCTGCGTTCAGCGCCATTTTTGATGCTGCGCCTTCCTTGCAGTCGCTTTTTCATGGGCCTCGTGCTGTTCAGGCACAGAAGCTCCCAGGTTGCATTCAGCTTAACAAATTCCCATGTCATTTAGTAAGGGAGCCGCCCGAAAAGAGCAGCGGTTCGTGATAATACTAAGAGATTACGGGCCACAAAGTACTTACAACCTCAAAGGTAAGTGTCTTACTATGCCGATTGTGCCCTATGATCCTTTAACCGAGGACCCAGAAATTTCAATTGTCGTCGCGTCTTGCAGCTTTTGATGAGGTTGTGGATTACAATCTGTTGGTGGAGTTGTGTTTTTGTGTCGTTGTTTGCTGGCTGGCTTCCTGGCTTCTCGGCTTTTCGGAATTTGCGATTTTGCAAAGCGTGCTGTACTCAACGGGTACTGTGTTCAACAAGGGATCGCTTTTGGTTTTGCCATTGTCCAATGTCTTTCACTGGCATGTTCCTGCCTGCTCCGCATGCTTTAGCGAGGTCAAACTACGCAAAACCGCGTAACCACCTTGAAAAAAGGCCAGGTCGAACCACACCTTTAAACACTTTTTAGAGGGTGACCCCATCAAGCCGCGCATCCGCGGCAGTAACTGCAGCCAAGCCCAGCCACATGCTCGCGCACAAGCCTGCCCAAACCCACGCCCAACAGATATCAAATCATTTCTGGAGCCTTGTGGGATTGAGTTTTGTGAACACAGGACAGCAAGTCGCTAGGATCACTAGGACATGGAAAGTCTTTTCAACAGCAGCAGTAGTTGAAAGGCTTGCCCTGAGCAATCAGGTTCGTGCTGAGCCTTGGCAACATCAT